TCATGTAGACGTCAGAGTATATATCACCTCAGATTAGTTTAGCATAGATTAATGGGAGGGATGGAATGCTTAATTTTGGCCTGGCTCGAGATTACGTACTTTATTTCGGAGGTGATGGGAGGTACCATTTCCCCTACATCACTTCCTCGCCAGATGACCACCACCTGTATCACCTGTCCTCACGTTCAAGATACTCAAACAGACGCCAGCGACGTCTCCATTCATCGCAGCATAGAACAGCCAAGCGATTCTTTGTGCTCGAGGGACACGATAAATATCATAAGATACGTCCAGGACTTTCACAAAGAAATATGACTATCGGATAGTACAGGCCCAGGTCTTTGCCATCCCGTGGACTGCAATTTTCAATCGCTCGTCCGACGGTAACTCTGCTGTCGCTGACAGCTTGTTCGCCTCTGGGACATAGGATAGAGTGGGGGAAATGCAGGCTCGAAAAGGCGCGCTGGAAACCAGGAGTCCTTCGACTCATTTCATCCAAGCGGCTTGCTTTCTCCTGCTCATTTCTGGTGTTGTCTTCCATCAAAGCGATTTCTCACCCAGCTATGCATATCAAGAGTTGTAGATGTTCGAGGAGGTAAGGGGAGTCAGGAACTACACCGATTGTGCCTCGTCCTCATTAGGTTCAACTGCTAACTGATGCCTCCAAAGCGCAGTAGGAACCAACCAGCATTCGCTCTGCTTGCTCAATAACGACGTCGTCAGGGAGCGAACGGTGTGTAGATACTAGCCGCCGATTCTCACTCTCATGTATCTCCATTCCATTTGATGCGTGATGTTTCAAGAGCTAGGCTGAAAGGTTCAAACGAGATTATGTCGCCCTGTCGAAGCCCTTCTTCGGTGATGATCTCCTTGGCGAGATGCTGGTCGTGTCCAGCTCTTTAGCAACCACTTCTGTCTCAGCAGAGTTGAAGGTTCTCTTTAAGTCTCGATAGAGTGAGGACATTACAGCATCGCTTGGCACACTCGCGATGATGAGTCCTCTTCGGAACCCTGCTCGCTCTCATGCCTATCTTTCATCTAGTACTCCGCCTAGCCTTATGAGCAGCCTAGGCTTATGAGCACTGAGCAGTCGAGAAATCATTCGAACCATTCATGTCAAACTGTTTGACTCCACAGCATAAAGTCCCGTGATTCAAGTGTACTACTGAGCCAGCACAATCAATGGAACTTGACAGGCTGTTCAGCAGCATCAATTGACGTCACAAAAATTATCGGTGGAGTCACTGGCAACGTCGTCGTCACTTTTGGAAGCCCAGTGTACCAGTAAGAGAAACAATATTTTTAAGCATCATTATTTTTCATGAATGCACAAGCTAATGTGAAGCTTCTAGAAGGACAATTAAAAGGGTCAAGATTCTAAGGTCTGGCATTAAAGGGGGATGTAGCATGTATCTTATATCTTTGTCCTGAAGTGTGAAGGACAATGAGGGGTAAATTAAGCTTTTTTAACAATGAAATTCTGGGGAAAGTAAATTGAGACTCCGACCTTAAGCTCTCCTGAGACGTCTCTAAATATAGGTGGATGGGAATTTTTACCACTGGATATCGCGTCCAACGTTCAGAGAGAGTTTCCGCCGCTCAGGATATTTACGACGACTTATCTATGAGTTCGTGCACAGTATGACGTCGATACTCTGCCAAATGTGGGTAACCATCTATTTTCTATTTGCTATTATTGCATGCTACCTAGATACACGTAGACATAATTGTAAAATCACAACCATTGATAAAAAATGGAAACAAAGACAAACTGGCTAATAAAGGGGCAACATACAATTAATAAAACCTGATAAAAATAACAAAATGAAGAATGGATTAGTTTGCTGACCACCTCCAAGGATTCTATACATTCCAAGTATGGAGAAAGTGAGCACCTCTTCGAACGTAGAACTTGTGCTAAGATAATGCTTACAGCTCGCCAATACTAACTACATAGAACTTTTTAGTAAGCTTAGCAAACTCCCGAGACGCCCGCAATAAAAGAAATTAGATCTGACACTTGTCCTGGTCTTGAACAGACGTAGTTTGGACTTAGCCTCTGGTATGAGAGGGGAGAAGAGTGAAAAGATTACGCCTATCAATCGAAACCTTGCCTGTAAGTATTTTGAACACCATCAACAAATCTAATTTTTTTCGTCGGCATAGAGGAAAATCAAGACCAAGCATCGTGATCCTGTCGGCACCTCTTGGTATAGCCTTATAATCAAACCTCAAAGCGCGAATCAAAACCTTCCTTAGTGAAACTATTTTGAATAGCTTCAAGCCTATAAATGGATTTTTTCGAATGAGGAAAAAAAATTCATGGATCTATATTCCAGAATAGAGCGAACAAATGTCTTATAAGCCTCCAATGAGAACACAGGATCCTCAGTGTAGAAGCATCTAAAGAGTTGAAAAAGCTCAAATTCAGCTTTCTTCGCAATAGTTAAGTAATGAGATTCAAAGTTTAACTTACTGTCAATTATGAATACCCAAAATCCCGATTTGCAACATTAGCAAGGGCAGAGCCTCCCTATGTAGCAGTTATTGTGAGATGTAGACCTTCCTAAACGGGGGAACTGAAGTTTTCTTCGAGAGGCCAGGAGGAGTCCCCATAAGTTAGATCACCAACGACTTCATCGATCTTGGATTCTGACAGTATCCGCATTGAGCCTATAATATATTAAACATATCGAAACATGTTGCATTTAACTCCTTTGTGTAACATCCACTAGTGCGGTAGGTCATTAAGTGTAAATTACAAACAAGTATCAAGGACACTCCCCTGATGGAACACCACTGGAGCCGATCTCACACTGGAAAAGGTTCCCTTAATATGGAATTGAAATGAGCGATACCGAAGAAAGGGGTCAATCCACGAAATTATTCTATGATGAATCCCGACATGTTGAAGCTTTGCTAAAAGCATTGTGTGGCCTATCTTATCGAACGCTTATTCAGATAAACAGTCAAAGTGAATACATTAATCAACAGCCTTTTTACTTGTCAGAGCACGGCTCCATTTAAACACTCAATCATTTGTTTAACTTAGACCTTAATTTTGCTTGAATCCATGCGGCATCCGCCGTTTAGATATTGTGCCTTCCAACCTGACCTCTACGATGACCCTCTTAATATTTTCGATCATCTCTGCAGAAGACTGAATAATTGGTGGAGAACTTCTGACGCCGAGCCAAACCCAGCCTCTGACAAGCCCCAGCATCTGGAGCAAACAAGACTGTACCCACAATTTGCAACTGCAACTTACCCTTCGGCAAACCTAGCCTCTCTGAACTCATCGGAGCAGCAATTCAGAAATAAATCAGTCCACCTTACGCTATTTCGTCGATAAACTTGTAAACTTTTTTCTGGTTCGTTATATTATAGTGAAGATGTACTAGAGAACACAGCAGAATGTTTCACATCAAATCTGAAAAAAGCAACACACCTTCATCGTGCGACGATGTCCCCATGATTCTTTGTCGAGGGTCATACAATTTTCCCATTTTCGGTCTAGGAGTTTGCCTAAATTCACGTAAACAATCGATGAACTAGAGGAAGAAACCTCAGCTTTGGAAGGCAACATTCAAGAACATCGAACCACGTAAAATCGGTGCGTGGGCTTATCTTCTGCTCACCTGGGTCATAATGATCAGAATAAGTGAGAAAGCCGCCATGCTTTCCCATGGAATCACCACCCCAGCGATCATTCACCACAACGACATCTTTAACGGGACTGAAACAATGTGTGTTTGAGCTTCACCACTCTCTCGACGCGGCTTAATTCAGCGATATATCTGAAGCTTCGTAGGCTCTTACGATGCATTGCCAACCATAGCTCTACTCATTCCCACTTACCCCTCTCCGATAGCTTCACTTTCAACGAAGTTATGGGTGTTCAAATGAGGGGTACTTTTCACGTGTTTGGCTTGAAATTGGCTCCAGGCCGTAAAATAGCGCGCACCAATGAGCTTGTATGAGCGCAGTGTTTCGAGCGCACGCAAGCACCGGCGACTAACAAAGTATAGTTATCGATCTAGCGTACGACAGCGTATGCCCATACATGCCAGCGACTGGGAATGGGGTATGTGACAAGAGAATCGTGATTCACCGCGCTGGTGGGCGTCGCGTGCGACGTCGCACCGCAAATGACGATGGTTCCAGGTAGTAGATGGCGACAACAGGCGTTATAGAACCGAGGGTAGTCATGAATGTCTATGACGGGGTCTACATGAAGTCCGGTGCTCCAATCGACAGGTTAACACGAGTTAAGAAAACGCCGCGCCCATCGCCGCGCGCGATGGGGCGGCAAATTACGATCCTCTTACCCGTCTTCCCCGGGAATGTACGGATATCGGCTTGGCAAACGCCATCATATGCGAGCATTTTCGCACGCATTAGAGCTTGAGCAAAACGCGTTCGCTAAATTGATATCCATACTTTCGCTGGTCGCTGGCGCACGCTCAAAACACTGCCGTATGCTGGCGCACGCTGAGGCAAAGTATGTAGGCAAACTCCGCCGAACATTAGCTTTGGATAGAAATCAAAGAATTTGTGGTCAACAGGTACTGCTGTTTAGCACGTCAGTTCGCGCTCCAAAGTCA